ACGTACAGCACCAGCATCGCACCGGTGAAGTTGTTGGGCTTCGTCGCCACTCCAGGGAACGTCCAGAGCGTTGAACGCTGGAGGTCACGGCGCCTCCGCCGCACATTCATGTCCACAGATGGGATGCCGAGCGCAATGAGGAAGTCGCTCGCCTCCCACGCACGGACAACAGTGGGTGGAATGTACCTGAGAGATTCATCACAAAATGTTGTGTCCGAGGCAGCCAACACGGGCGACAACTCCAACGGCCTCGTACTAGACACCTCATTAATGCTGCGGAGGGCAGCACATGCAACTAGAACCGTAAGACAGAAAGCAGTCGCAACTGCCACTCGCCGGGAAACGTATATAGCCATAAGCGTGGGGCCCTCTCACACAAAAGCAAAGAAATGGAAAGAATACACAAGCCCGGCTCAAAGACCTAGTAGTACCCATTGTACCCAAGTCTCATTGGCAGGCACGGAACAGCAGATATGTACCACAGGAAGCAGTGAAGGGGCACAGTAACGCACAGCGAACCACAAAGCCCCTAAAGAAGCAAATACACAAATGTTACCATTTCAAGAAAGGCCTCGGTGTATTATTCAGCTGGCACGCACTCAGGAGCTATTGGTGACACAACGGCGTCACTGCTGAACGAGTGCGCTGCCACCCCAACTCCAGTACCACTGGCTCAGCTATCTCTTCAGCACCGTCACAATGCCGTACCACATCCCTGGTGGAGACACAGCGCCAATCGCGAAAGGGGCACACGAATACGACACGCTCTCGACATCACAGCTGACCACCTGCTGCTCCTNCGAAAGGGGCACACGAATACGACACGCTCTCGACATCACAGCTGACCACCTGCTGCTCCTATACACAACAAGAAAGAGAACAACGGAGATGATCCACCTCACAAACAAACCACCGCAGCCCACCAAGGGAAAGGGGAGCAAAGCCGCAAACAAGAGGGGGAGACCATCCGCACATCACCAACCTTCCATGCAATAAAACAACGTTAACGGACTAGACGAGCCCACAGAGTGATACGAGAGGATAATACAGCACACGTTTAACGCAGCTAAGCAGCAAAACAAAGGGAGAGTTTAATAATCCAGCCCACACCAATAATGTCACCTAGTGGGCAAGAAGCCAGCACACGCCACACCACTCATCAATGGTACGCGCAACTGTCAGCATGACTGCGGACATTATTCCTCTTAGAGAGATACGCGTATCAACAATTAAACACAAGATAATTCCGCCGTTTTTTCGCGCGCTTTGCAGCAGGCGCTGTAAAGTTCTTGAAACGCTCCATCAGCTTAACGAACTCACTCTCGGTGGTGTCGTGGACCACCACAGAGCTCCAAGTCACACGTCGAATAGGTCCTCCATGCCGCAGATTGTGAAAGCG